CCCAAATTGGACGACTGGGTACGGAATCGTATCGAACCTACAGGCCATTTTGGGACCGATTGGGTCCGGAATCGTATCGGACCTTTGCCTCGGTTTTCGGGGGTCCTGTGGTTGCGCGGACGCGGGGAAGATAGGGGCACTTGGCTCAGACCTTGCGTCACTCCTTCGTTCGACGTCGCGTTCATCATCTTTCTTCCGGTTCGTGTACAAGAATACATACAGCATGCCTCTACACGTTCTCTTCCTACTCTCGAGCGATGCTGTACACGATTAAAGCATCGACGCATGTTCGGCCGGTGCAGGTCGCGACCCGTTCGCGCGCGTACAGCTCCTCGCGGCCGACGCGCGCTGAGAAGCTTGTTATTCTTGGTTCGGGATGGGGAGGATACGAGGTGCTGAGGGTTGACAAGAAGAAATATGGTGTGTATGGCTGTGCAGCTTTATGGCTCGGTGTATCTTATACTCGCGCAGATGTGACTGTTGTATCGCCTGTCAATTACTTCAACTTCACTCCGCTGCTTGCGAGTGCAGCCGTCGGAACCATCGAGTTTCGGTGTGCTACAGAAGCCGTATGTCACCGGATACGTCTTTGGAACAACGCACTGATGATGGAGGTCGACAGGTCCGCCGATACAGCCCGAACATCGTGAGCGCTTCCATTTGACGTGTGGCGCAGCATAGCTTAACTGTTCCGGCAGAGCTACTACCAAGCCTGGGTAGACAGCATCGATTTCAAGAACAAGACACTCGAATGTGTACGCCTGGTCTCTCTAACACTACTCATTTCCTGACCGTACCTTCATACTAGATGCCCGCAACGCCTCCGCCTCCCTTCTCTCACGAGGTTGCGGGCAAACCAACAAACGTCTCGTCCACGGCGTCTTCGTCACCAACAACTTTAACGCCACCCGCACCCGCTCCGGGGAAGGCCTTCCAACTACCCTACGACAAGCTCGTCATATCAGTCGGAGCCTATGCTCAAAGTGCGTACATACAACCATCGTCCATGCAGGTGCTTGTTTAAGATTGACTCATGTTTACCAGCCTTTGGGATACCTGGCGTCAAGGAGCATGCACTATTCCTGAAGGACGTCAAAGATGCTCGGCTTATACGCTCACGCATCATGGAGTGTAAGTCATACGGTGCCTATGGCATGCTGCGACTGACAATGCTCAGGCTTCGAGCAGGCGAACCAGCCATTCATCACCGACGCACAGCGCGACCAACTGCTTCACTTCTGCATCGTCGGTTCGTGACCTCGCTGACCCATTTGTGCTATAACTGACGCGAGACATGCAGGTGGAGGGCCTACTGGAGTCGAGTTCGCGGCTGAGCTGCACGATCTGACGCAGACTGATCTGCGCAAGGCATTCCCGCATCTCGTTCCCCACGCCCGTATCTCCGTGTACGACGTAGCGCCGCAGATTCTAGGTTCCTTTGACGCAAAGTTGGCAAAGTATGTCTGGCGTCCACCCTACGCGCTTGGAGAGTCCAAAGTAAACACGCGCCAGATACGCCGAACAGTCTTTCGCGCGTGAGAGGATCGATCTCAAGACGAACCACCATGTTGAAGGCGTCGAAGCTGTAAAGCTACCTTTCACTCACATGGGTGATCGCGAGAGATTGACATCGGATTGTGTCGTGTAGGGCAAATTACATGTGAAAGAGCAGGGTGTAGTGCCCTTCGGCCTGCTGGTATGGTCAACAGGGCTCGCGCCGAACCCGCTTGTCGCCGCAATCAGCGATATGCGCAAGGATGAGAAGACCAAGAGGTATGCCTCTCTAAATGACATGAGACGCGTAGCTCCGCGCTTAATCCGGGCGAAAGTCTCGTCACCGACAAGTATCTAAACGTGCTCTGCCCCAATGGTACTACGTCGGACAAGGACGTGTGGGCCATTGGGGACGCTGCAAAAAGCGAGGGTGTGGCATTACCCGCTACCGCTCAAGGTGTGATTACCTACCAACATTAACAGGAGCCGTACTGATCTTTGTGTATTCGCTAGTCGCCAGCCAGAAGGCGAAGTACGTTTCCAACACCCTCAATGCGCTAGCGAAGGGCAAACCCTCGTCGAAGCCTTTCGAGTTCAACAATCAAGGCGCCCTCGCGTACCTGGGTAACATGTGCGTTCTCATTTCAAACCCCAATACGCCTGTGATTATAGAGTACTCACTGTAACTCGTTGATAGGACCGCGATCGTAGACCGTAGCCAGGCAACTTCAGGACCGAAGAAGTCTGGCACCGGCGTCTTCGCCTGGCTATTCTGGCGCTCTGCGTATTTCACGCGCACTGTCAGCCTACGGAACAAGTAAGCTGTGCTGCGTCTCGTCTGCTTCATGTTTGCTTATGGGCGATTCTGTAGATTCTTGATCATGGCGTACTGGTGTGTTCCATTCACTGTTGACTCAACAAGACTTCCGGCTGACTAGGTGTTCGTAGGACCATGACTAGTGAGGGCGACCCAAGCTATCTCCGTGCATTACTAATGCTCTACAACAGTGATATTCGGGCGCGATTTGACGAAGTTCTGACGTGGGCGCCGATAGGTCCGGGCCGGTGCCACTCGGCGCGAACGTCAAGATCGAAAGTGACCTTCCTTAATTCAGAACTACTATGACCCACGGCACTCCCATAACCCAACATTGTACTATCATAGCAGATCCTGGTATGCTTTCGTACGCTACGGCGATTCATATTCACAAGCGAGGTGCATTTCACCTGTTCTCAAGCGACGGACAGAAGCGGAAAGCGAGCGGAGCGGATCGGCTCTTCGCACCCCGTCCTCATCCGAGCGAATCTGTTTCGTCCCTCTCTCGCCGCCCAATCGCGTACCGGGGGTCCTTCGAGGGTCTCAACATAAGACGACGATGGGTTGTGTTGGGGCGAAACATATACCCTCGCCCACCGAACGGGTGCACGCGTCCCACTTTCACTCCCGATCGCTTTGACTTCGTTCTTGTTCTGCCGGGTGATACGGGCAGTCGTCTGTTGTGATTCACCGTGCAGATGATACCTATGCACACTGTGACTCGTACTAATGGCCGAGCTCTGATGAGGCGATCATTCACGGTACCTGCTCGGTCAACGAAGCAGCGTCTCGTCATCTTGGGTTCGGGTTGGGGCGGCTACGGTATTCTCCGATCCATTGATACCAAGCGATACGGTATGCATGCGTCTGTACGGATCCGTATGAGAGGATTGTTGGGTCTCACACCGTTGATGTTCGGGCAGACGTCACCGTGGTCAGCCCGAGCAACTACTTCAACTTCACTCCTTTGCTCGCAAGCGCCGCAGTGGGCACGCTAGAGTTCAGATGCGCAACGGAACCGGTGAGCATAGATACGTCACTTTCACACGAATGCGTCTGATACACTGTAGGTCCGGCGATTCACGCCACAAGTCGTGAGCCCATCACCGCAGGTACATCGCCCGGACGCGGTTCACTCACGCTCTTGTAGGAGTACTACCAGGCGTGGTGCGACAACATCAACTTTGCCAGTCAATACCTGACATGCGTGAGCGAGCGTACTACTCGCGGAGGACCAAAATTTACTGACCCAGACCGTCTAGATGCCCGTGTCTCCTCCATCATTCGAGCCCAAGGATCCGTCTGCGACCAACACAGCGCTTTCACCTGCTGCTATGCACCCCGATAAGGCTTTTCAAATACCGTATGATAAGCTGGTCATCGCCGTCGGCGCATATTCTCAAAGTCTGTGTTCTACGGCGCTAACCGGATCATTGTATCTGACACTTTCTTGCAGCCTTCAACATCCCGGGCGTGAAGGAGCACGCCTTCTTCCTGAAAGACGTGAAAGACTCCCGTCGCATACGTGCTCGCATCATGGACTGCTTCGAGCAAGCGGCCCAGCCCTACGTCACTGCGGAGGAGCGCCGTAACCTCCTACATTTCTGCATCGTGGGTAAGCGCACTCTGATCTCCCACAAGCGCGCAAGCTGATCTTTCGCAGGTGGCGGGCCAACCGGCGTCGAGTTCGCCGCGGAGTTATACGATCTCATCCAGAAGGATATCTCGCGCTCGCTTCCAGAACTGCTTCCTTACGTACGCATCTCCTTGTACGACGTCGCGAAACGTTTGCTCGGGTCCTTTGATGCGGAGCTGGCCAAGTACGCCGAAGACAAGTATAAGCGCCGCGGAATTGATCTGAAGATGGGCCATCATGTCGAACGCGTCGAAGCTGGGAAGTTGCATGTCAAGGAACAGGGTGTAGGTCAGTATCCCACGACAGTGACTGGAAGCGATGGCGGACTAATGCTCTGCAGTACCATTCGGCCTCCTTGTTTGGTCAACAGGACTGGCTCCCAACCCCCTCATCTCATCGATCAGCGGCAGGCAAAAGGACTCCAGATCACAAAGGTATGAGTGCTGTAATGGCTTGAACGAGATATTAGCTCATGGCGATGCTTAGCTTGCTCACGGACGAACGTCTGAACATCTTGAAGGAGAACGGATCCTCTGATCCTGACGTGTGGGCCATTGGTGACGCCGCTATGACGGTCAGCCAACCTCTACCAGCGACTGCCCAAGGTACAAGTTCGGCACCCGGCTAGTTCTCTCGTACTGATCATCTCTCAAGTTGCTAATCAGAAGGCACGCTACCTTGTTCGCAAGCTGAACCGTATGGGTAAGGGCAAACCCGCCATGGAACCCTTTGAGTTCAAGAATCAAGGCGCTCTAGCCTATCTTGGTGCAAAGTGAGCGTGAAGCTGTCTCTATAGAGCGCTATCACTTACACCAGCTCAGGACGGCCATCGTTGATCGAAGCCAAGCATCATCGGGACCCAAGGCGTCCGGTTCGGGTGTCTTTGCGTGGCTGTTGTGGCGCTCCGCATACTTCACCATGACCGTGAGCAACCGCAACAAGTACGTGCAGCGCGGCTCCGCTTGACGGACTGTGTACTGAATGGTCCTCTAGGATTCTCATACCGATATACTGGACTTTGACGAGTACGTGAACTCAACTCACTCGATGATACATCACATAACTGACGATGGCGTACAGTGATATTGGGTAGAGACCTTACACGCTTCTAACCTACACACGACTATTACATAATGTCCTTGTCTTCGATCTCATACATATCTTCCCGTTATCATCTGAGCACCATGCGTTGGCATCGAACTCACTACTGCATGCTTGAACCCTCGTCCCACGTAATCTCAAAGGGAGTAGCTAGATACAGTCGTATTCATGTACTCGCATTGATACAGCAGCCCCGCCCTTCTCCTTCGACCGACCCTTCCCTCTTCCGCGGCGAGCCCTCTTATCGCGCCAAATCGCTCGCTCAATATTCCAGCCAATCTATAGACACCAGTTGGATGGGCCAATGTGTTCGTGTCCAGTTGGATGGACGTGCAGCGCTGCGCCAGTTGGATGGGCTGCGCGCCGGCTCGTCAGAAGCCAGATACGCCCAGCGGCTCAGTTGGATGAGCCGCGGCAATCGTACGTGTCTACGTCAACGCTGCCGCGCGGGCAGCGTTGAGCGCAACGACGAATGAAGCGAGTAGACTCTCGCGGTCTTGCATGCCGACGGACACGCGCACGAGCGAGTCGCTCACCCCGAATGTCGCAGCCCACGGAAGCTCGCCGTAGTGCGCGAGGATGGTGTACGGACACGCGAGCGTAAAGTTCGTGCCGAGCGATGGGCCCTTGTAACACGGGAGAGCATCGAAGAAAGCAGCGCTCGCCTGGCGCGAATTGAAGTCGACGGAGAACAGTCCGCCAAAGCCTCCCGGGCGCCCCGGACCCTTGACGCGACACGAGTCGTAGTTCGCACGGGTCTCCCACTTCGGGTAATAGACGTTGTTGAGAGGCGAAGATGCGTCTCCGCCGAGACGCGAGGCCGCGTAAAGCATGTCGCAGACGGCTTCGGTGTTGTCGTCGATCTCGGCGATGCGGCGCTGGAAGTCGCGCGAGTTACGTTCCATGAAGATGGCGTCCGCGTCAAAGTACGAGTTCTCGTACGTCTTCGCTAGATGCGCCTTGAGCTCCATGTAGTGCTTGCGGGCAGGGTTCAATACCAAGCTATGACATACTGTTAGCGAAGTGCGAAGGCAATGGACGCTGATGGCCTCACCTTCCTCCCATAACATTAGCCTCGCCGCTGAAGATCTTGCTGAGACTCGAGACCATGATATCCGCCTGAGGCAGCGCCTCGACGTTGACGAAGTTGCCGATGGTGTCGTCGATGACGATGAGGAAATCGTACTTGTCGGCCAGCTCGCGTAGGCGGATGAGATTGGCGGAGCGCAGGAGCGGGTTCGAAGGGAATTCGGTGAAGAGCGCGAGGGCCGGGGGCTTGCCGGGGTTGGCCGCTTGCTCCTCCGATAGCACCCTCTCCAGTTCGTCGATGTCAGAGTCAAGTCCATTGCCGAAGAACCAGCAACCAGGGCCCCACTTCTCCAGGCACTTCAGGGTATCTGTGTAGGGGAAGCTATCCATTCGTTAGTGATCAGAAGTAGGGTTCGTATGATGAGAACGCACCCAAAGCAGATGCTCTTCCTCTGCCCAAGAGCACCCAGCGCCAACTGATGCGCTGACCAGATCGCGGCCATGCCAGTAGGGTAGAGGAATACATCGCTCTCCTGCACGCTCGCACCACGAACCGACTCGCCGACCTCGATCTCACCCCGCTCATCCCGAACGAGCACACCGGCGATACGCAAGCGCATTGCGCGCTTCGCCTCTTCCGCCGCCTGAGGGTTGAGGTTGCGTCCGAAGCGCTCCTCAATAAAGAGCGCCTGATCCCGCTCGAAGTCTTCTGCTTGGACCGGCGGCGCTATGGGTACTCCGCGGGCGGGTTTCGCCGCGTAATGTCTGTTTGACGCCTTCGCTGCAGGCGCCGCAGCGGACTGGTTGGTGAGAAGTGCCAGTGCGTGCTCTGCGCGGCGACTCGAGATCCCAAGCCCGGTGTGCTGCCAGAATTGCTTCGCGACAGAGAACTGCTCGGATGGGAAGAGGACGGCATAGATATGCGTCGCGTGATCGGGCATGGTAAACTGCACCACGCGGGCTTCGACGTCGCGGCTGGTCACAAAGACGCGGCATTCTTCAGCGATCTTCGGGGTGGCAAAGAGCATGCTCCTCTCGTTGGGCTTGCCGAACTTCTGCGTGCAGATCTCCGCGAGCTATCGAAACCGTGAGTTGTGCGGATCATCTAGATCGAGGGTCGAACAAACCTTCTCAATACTCTTGTGAACGAAGAAGCGGGGGTATCCCGTCTGCATGACGTTCAATACGCGAGGATCGCCCTCTTCATAGGATACGTTGTCAAGCCAGGTCGGCAGAGACACTGAGATCGCATGATCGGTGTAGGGAGGGATCGTGAGCCCGACGGGGTGCTGAGGTTGAAGAGCGACAGTCATTGTTTGTCGAGACCGAGACAGCCCAAGTTCAACTTATAGCCGCACGGAGAAGATGGAGGTATAAAGTCAAGTCAGAGTCAAGAGCCACTCGCAGAAGTTTTGAGTCACGCTAGCGCTCGTCATCGTTCGACCGATGGGCCGACGCGCCTGACGCCGACAGCACGCACGGCCGGCTCGCCGTCTTTCCGTCTTACGATGTACATTTACCCCGACGAGAACGTACGAGCTTGCATTCATGTGAACAGAGTATAGAAGAGGTACATAGTGACTCGTAGATCAAGACGGCCATTGACATGAGAGGCAGTGACAAGATGGAGAATCTGGAAAACAGCCGCGCTCCGTCGCGCGTCAACGCGTCAACCCTGCAGATTGCCCTCAACACCCATGTACCGAATGATACGTTGCCTCGCAAAGAGGATCGCTTTCCAAAAATTGGGCAGAGCCATGATACGCCCGCGGAAGTGTCTCGCGTCGTCAGCGGCGAGGCTGGCGACGCGGGCCGCGTTACGAAGGACGACGACCTCATAGACGACCGAGAAAGTGCACAACCCTCTATAATCTCCCATACGCCATTGTGACAATCTCAAAAATCCTCTTCGCCTTACAAACATGCCAGCGAGCCCCCACCGAAGCGCGTCTTTAGGCATGTCGTCTGGCTCAGAATTCGATCTCGGCTATCCTCAGACAATGGTATTTCCCACCCTGGTCGTCTGGTTTCCGCCCACTTGAGGGCATGTGGACTATCAGACCAAAAGTGTATTCTTATGTATGTTCTTCCAACACTCAGCCAGGTTCTTATGAAATCATATTGACTGGTATTCGTGCGTATGTTCCGATCTACATGGGGCCGTGTGCACACTTGTGGTGCAACGTCCGGCCTCCAGGCGATCTGTGAGTTTTTCGAGGTTCTTCCCCGCGCGCGGACACTCGCGCCCCCATCGTCTCCGTATCAGGCATTGAAGCGCTGGAGGCGATGAGGGATTGCGCTTGCCACCGTCGAAACGGCGACATGCGCTCGAGGCCGCGTTCATCGGACAGCTGCCACTGCTGCACGACCAAGCCCTCGGCGGTCGTGCCCGTCGGAGAACGGATGGCGCAGTAAGATCTGACACGACGAGCGTGTCGAGGATTGTGCATATCATGGTCTTTGAGGTCATCGCCCGGGTCCTCAGCGCCTCCCTGCGAGACGCATTACGACTGCGAGGAGGCGCTCTCAGCTCTCTCGAGCTGAGGAACCGCGTAGGCTAGCTCGCGAGGAAGGGAGGCGACTCCCTGTGCGGGGCGAGCCCGCAGCCATTCAGGCCTGCTGGAGGTGAAGGAAAGAGGAGAGATCCGACGTCGTATAGGCTTTTATACCGTAGAGGTTATCTGATCAAAACGTCGAATACGCCCACGTGAGTAGGCGGCTTTAGTTGCGGGCCGAGGTGCCGCAGAAGCATCGCGACGCGTTATTTGTACATGTATACGTTTCAGCTTGTTTCATTGACAGCGAACCACATTCAACAGCTTGCTCGTGACGGCCACGTTCAACTTGTTGCCCAAACCTGCGTGTACTGTCCTCCAGCGTCGCCTCTTCAGTTCAAGCACAAATTAGCCTATTCGCGGCATCATCAAGACTCCCGCTCCCGCAGGTTTGGTTCCGTCCCGTCTTACGCGCGCGTCGGCCCGAATTAACTTCACAACAGGCCCGCCAGGTCGAGAATGATTGCTCTGTCGCCACAAATTGTGCCTTCTGCCTCGGACTCACCTTCACCGTCCTTGAAAGCGCCTGTCAAGACGTACAACGATCTCGTTCGCTCGTTCTTCACTCGCTCCGCCACAGACACCGAACCCGAACCTTCGCGCTCTCCCGCTCGCATGGGCTTCCGGGAAGGGGACTCAGGCCCTGCATTTACCCCGCCAGAATCCTTACCGCCGCCTACACCCGCCGTTCTGGAGCTTGGCTGTGAGGTTCAGGACCTTACAACTACCTTGACCTCGCCCGACGACTGGTCGGACGATATCGTTCTCGTCGACGGCATGCCCATCCCATACATATCATCCGGCCACCCCGGCGTAGAAGACGTTGAAGAGTACGACGAATACGAGGAGGACGTGACCAGCGCCTACACCACACACGGCATCTCGGATATGCCCCGCGCGTCTCTACAACACTTCTCACACCACGGTCTGTCGCGTAGCGCCCTACAACACCACAAGTGGCTCTGGAGCGCGCGCTATGACGAATGGATGCAATGGCAGATCGATGTAGAGCAAGCCACCTCCGGCTACGACGGAGTCGTTGACCCTGCGACCATCGAACCACCCGCAGCTCTTCGCGCACGTTCGCCTTCTCTCACCCCACCGCCGACACCCACATCTCCTCTCCCACCTACAGCATCCCTGCGCGAGGTCAATCCAGCTATATTCCCCCGAACCGGCGACCTATCTGCTTTGCACGATCCCCACTCAGCGCGTGTCGACCGCTTCTTTGGGAACTATCCGCTCTGCACTCTGCAGAAGGCGCTCTTCGTTCTGAGCATGCGCACCGGGAGCGACGGCGCTTCCACGGCGACATCCTCATCTCTCTCGGCGGAAGGTAACTCGCTTCCCATTACACCTGTAACGCCGAGCGATGGCAGTCGTTACTCCGATGAGGAGGACGGATCGGACACTTCACACACGCGCGGACCCGAGGTTAGGGAGCTTCCGGCTGTAGCCGCATATGAACGCTGGGATGCACGATGGGAGGTCTTCCAGGAGTTGGCAACATTGACGCCTCCGGAAAGCGATGAACCGTCGCGCAATGGCAAGCTCGCACAGACCTCCTTTGGACTACCGGTGGTGCTACGTCCGCTGGATGTCCAAATGGAGCCGGAAGAGCCTGAGCAGCCCGTCGAAGCTCGCCAGAGAACGCGCTTCTTCATTGCCAACGACGAAGGCGATGCAGAAGACGAACGTTCCTTCTCTGGCACGGTTGACCAGGACGACGATGAGGATGAAGACGACTACGGCGAGATCTTGGTCAACCCTCGCTTTGGTCGTGGGCCGTATGTCACGGAGACGGAGCTTCTCCCCGACTTCGAGAACGAGCGCGAGACTGAAGGCTCGCGCTCGATGGTGGTTGAAACAGACATCCTCCCTGGTCTACGCCGCCTTCGGCTATCGCTATGATATCGCATTGCATTCCTCCGTCCTCCGTCACTTGTCGCTCCCCTTTTTTCTGCTCATCATTGTCGCGCTATTCATTTCTCTGTGGGTCTCATGTGTTCCGGTCTCTCCTCAGCACGCTACTTCGCCTTCGGATACCTCCTCATACCATCTCGCTGTCTCTTTCGCTTTGTACAACCACGCAACCCCTCACTGTCTGAGCTCACACATGTAGCCCTAGATGGACATTACTACTTACTCGAGCGCCACCATCGTCGCATTCAATCCTCGTCCGTTTTCCATATCACACCATTGTCCACTCTCGCAGCATTATGCCCATTCTAATTTCGGTTCATTATACTTGAGCATCTCAAGCTCCGGGACACCCGAAGCGTCCCGAAGATGGTTGATACTAACGTGTGATAGATCGTCGTATGCCGTGAAGTGGGTAGTATGGGCGCTCGTCGGACGGTGATCTCTTGTTGGGCCAGGAGTGTTGGTGATATACTGGTCTCCAAGACCATATGCTCTCCCGAACATCGGAAGACGTGCTCGTACAGGTTGTATGGCGCGATCATGTAAAGGACTGAGAGAAGAGCGTGCGCAGCCTAGCAGAGCCTGGCGAGAGGACAACGAAGAGCGTCTTCCTCAGCCCATGGCATTGTCCGGAAACTATATTGAGTTAGTATACTGGTCCTGACGCCCGTGAACATATGGAGCCAGGAGGCACCTGATAGCGACGGCGGTTGCCGAATGGTTCAGAGTCATCAATGGAGATCATCCTCCGCTGAGCCTCACGCGTGGTACGTACGAGGTTGCAGAGCTAGACACGGTGACCTGGAGCCATACATACTTTTCACTCGTCATTAGGCTGCTCTCATCCAATCATTGCACTTTGTGTAACGCTACTTGTACACGTGAAGAAGCAGTCTAAGCCTACCCAACGCCACCAAGTCGGTGTTGGCACGGTCCCGATCCTCTGCGGGGCGGAGCCACAAACCATCAATATCGATGAGCGATGGCGCATCTGCAGACTTGTGCACCGAGTCAACCCAATTCAAACGGTACATATCTGCAGGTTCCTGTCATGACTACGCATCATGCAGGCTTTGTTCGCGGGGGTGTTCAGATGGTCGCCGATCGCTCTGCGCTAATGGGCGACTTGTCAACCGGGAATGTATTGAAAGTATAGAATTGGCATAGAGAGCGGTGCTCTGTATGCCGTACTATGACACTATGATCGCCCTACGTGAGAGTCTTAGGTTGCTCTCGCTAATGGAGAAAACGTACTACTTACAACGCGCACGCGAGAATCCCCTAACTGCGCCGGAAGTTGGATACTGGCGTTCATGTACGGGTTGTTCCGTGGAGATACGAATCATTCAGTCAACTCCGCTGTAACCTCGGTACAGCGCCACTCGTGGTACAAAGGAAGAAGGGGAAATGGGTTCCGAGGGAGTGTGTACGGTCATAGGGCTCAAGCACGGCGAGGACATTCTGAGTTCAACATGTCTTGACCAACAGATGTAGACGTTTGCAGCGTGTACTTATTGCTTCTCCTAGACATCAACGATCCATCTCCGCTCGTTACGCCGATTGCTCGGTTGAGCAAGACCAGGTTCTTTGATGGAGGATAGCCCCTGAGACCTCAAGCGAGCGGCGGCGTTTCCCTCGGGGCTAAGTTCGAGGGGTACTGCGTAAGGTCAAGAGTTAAGTAGTCGTCACCAGCTAGAGCCGGTGAAGCAGCACCAAAAGCGACGCTAGACCAACACAATCTATTACGGTATCAGCAGCATGAAGGCAACACCGCCGATAACAATGCAGGCGCAAGACCTTGTCCCTCTTGTGTCCCTCTGTGAAGACGAGAGAAAGCAAGGAGGAACAGCTCATGACTATATGCGGTCATATCTGATTGGGCAGTTCTCCGTCGGTGAGCGCGCCGACTACGGACGAGTTGTGCTGTTGTTACGGTGGTCCTCCGAGGACCCGCCCGGAGGAGAGCGTGGCGAGAAGCAGTGCTCGAAGAAAGAGGCCGAGTGTCTAGCGAAGCAGAACGGGATGCCCAGTGTCGACTCGCCGCACGATCGGAACTGTTTGTCTAGACTCACGATAGGAAGCTGTCCGAGAAGTCGATAGGTCGTGCCCAACGGCAGCCTATACGAAGTAAGTAGACCATTTCTTGCGGCGTTAAGCATATGCGCATCGACGTCAAAGGTAAACGAAGAGGTACCATCGGAGCGCCCGTGGGCCTCACAAGAGCCAAACGTCCGGTGCGATCTCTGTACTTATTGCCCACGTGCGGGACTGAGTTAAGCGCTCCTTCCCGAACGCCTACTCCTACTCACGTACCATCATAAGCCGGTCGAGCAGGTCTGCGACCCTCTGATTCAACAGGCAAGTCGGCGCGCGTCCTCGTCGTGGAAGTGCGCGGTCAACTGACGATGTCAAGCAGCCTTCCACAGCGTCGGGTTGCGAAGCGGCGCGGAGTTGTCGTCGGATCGCCACTTGAAATCTTGACCCATTCGGTGAGCCCGCATCTCCTTTCGACTTCCACCTTCCACCGCGTCCCTGTCAAGAGGACGGCGATCAGTACTGCTTGCAAAGATGTCGGCAGAGTTACTCACAGTGTACCGGCTTTTATACAGGGTGGACCGTTGTTCTGAACGTTGTGTCGAGAGGCCGAGGTCACCACTTCATGACCGTTGGCCGTCTCGATCCTCATTCGTCTGCTAGCGCTGGTGACCAGCGTACGCAGTCTGCTTTTCCTTACGCTTCGTCTGTGCCGCCCACCCCGCAGTTCGTCCTGCCCTATCCCCCTCAGCCGTTTTCTGGGGTTCCTCAGTGTCCATACGGATGTCCATCGGCTGATCCCCACAGCGGTCCCCACTTCCCGCCTGGTGCTACACCATATCCGTTGCCATACGGGCACCAGGGTCTTGTGTACGCGTATCCTCCTCCGCCGCCGCCGCCTTTCGGTATGCGTCTCGCAACCACGCTCTCTCAGCCCCCATCGTGATTTGTCTCTATGGCTTAGGCTATCCCTCGTTGTATCCCTCGGCGTCTCAGCAAGCGATCCCGCGCAAACGTCAGCAAGTGAAGACGGCTGTACGTCATCTGAATAGCTCTTCTACGCCACGCCGCTCACTTTGGCGCCTTGCAATTCAGTGCACTAACTGCGCGGCGGCGTGCAAGAAGTGCGAGGAAGCCCGCCCCTGCGATCGGTGCGTCAAGTACAACATCGCGGATACTTGCGTGAGTGCTGTACGCAAGGAGCGCAAGAAGGGGGTCAAAAGGGGTATGCTTCACTCGCATAGAAAGCTTGTACACGGCGTATTGACAGAGTTTACTAGGTCCGTACAAGAAGAAAGAGAAGGACGCCACTGAACCCAAGGCAACGGAGACGGGATCGCCAACACAATCGGCGGCGCCCGTCCGATCGGGTTCGTGCCCTCTTCGCAAGGCTCTTACGTCGCTGCGGACGAGCTGACACCTTTCCTCAGGTTCCCCGGCGCCTGCCTCCAACGGCGAGGTGCACAGCCCATCCAAGTATTCGCCTCCGCCTGCCTTCTCGTCGGGTGTTCCGCCTTCCCCGCATTATTTCCCACAGGCGCCCGAAGGTCATCCGTACCCGTACTGGTACCCGCCGCAACCCCATTACTTGCCGCTCCCGCCTTTACCTGGTGATGCTCAAGACGGGCGTCCTCTTTCTCAGGCAGTCCCACCTCCGTACCCGTACTTCGCCGCGCCTCTTCCTGCAGCCTACCCTCCTTACCCTTTGTATCCCTCCCTGCCATACCCTCCACCGCCCGGCGCGATGTCGGTCCCCGCGCCGTATGCGCCGGGGCCTGCTTCCGCATCGTCAGGTTCGGTTGCGAGCGCTCCACCGACACCATCGCCGGCAGGGTGTGATACAGAGGAGAAGCATGTGCAAGCTCGCGAAGGGGTCTCTCCCGGTGCTGCGAAGCGCAAGATCATTGTGTGGGACGACCATCCCGGACCACAGCCTGCTGCCAAACGCAGCCGTTGCGTGGATAACACCGCAGCGATGTGATGCACTCATCACTCGCCTCATTCTCTCGCCACATCTCGATCGGACTCGACCTCATCGCTATCTATATGCCCAGGCATATCACCGCTTTCTCGGCCCATTTGACCATCACAAGGGTGTCGTACGGCCCGCTTGTGGTGGTCCAGTGAACCCAGTCTGGGTTGGTATTGCCATCGGGTAGATCTCGTTATATATCACGTTCTTGTGGATCTCGACCTTTGACTGGACTGGTTTGTATACGATGTTTACGTCTGCCATTGCTACTACAGACATGGGCCCTCAGTACCTAGTACTCAGCGCCCTCAGACCTTGTGCCCTTTGTTATGTATCTGCTGGAATGCTATCTATCTTGATCATCGAGATCATCATACGTGTACCTCTGCAAGTATCGACAGTGAACACTGGATGCAGCTCAAAAGGATAGCGTGGCCTTATTTAAGTTGCTACTTGGTTGCTACATCGAGGACTTGGCAAACCGCTGAATAGGGGTTTCCACTCGCCCACGTGCGGGCCGTGTGGACGCGAACTCACGTCAACAAATTCTGTGCGCCAGCGCGACGCGTCCTTAGACCTGCTCCATCACCATGTCTGCTCTCCGTAACCTCCGCCAGCTCGCTGCTTCCTCTTCGCGCACTCTCGCGACGCGTTCACTCACGTCTGCGACGCGTGCTGCTCTCCCGCGCGCTGCCGTTCGTGCCGCGGTTGTCCCTGCCAGCAGGGCATTCTCCATGTCTGTGAGGAGATTCGGCGAGGGTGCTTGTGAGTTTACACATGTAGATGAGTATGGAAGAACAAGAACTGAAATGTACCATATAGCGGACCCCGCCCTGTCGCAGAAGATCGCCGAGGAAATCACCTTTGAGAAGGAGTCCAGTTCCGCCGAGGAGCCGGACTTCTTGAAGTCGTTCAAGGCAAATGGTGTTTGGGAGGTAGGCATACACTGCTCTACCATATGCAAACCCATTGCTGAATATGCCTTAGATCCAGGACACTCCTGGCAACGACGAGGTGACGCTGGTACGCAAGTTCGGCAACGAGGAGTATGTGCATTTGTTGTCGTGCTACGCTATGGATGTTGACCTGTATGAACAGGATCCGTCTGGTCTTCTCCATTGCGGACTTGCATGCGCAGGAGGAGCCTGAGTTCGATGAGGACAATGCGCCGGAGGATGCCGAGGAGAATGTTGGCGAGTCCTACCCCATTCGCTGCTCATTCTCTATCAAGAAGGTCTGTCCTCATATCTAGTCGCGAATCCGCACTTGCTAACGAACGTCATATCTGCAGCCTGGTTCGACGAAGGGTGCTCTCACCATTGACGCCATGTGCCAGGACGACTCGTTCATCATCGACAACATCTCATTCTACGCCGACGGCCAGACTGCAACAGAGTTGACCGCAGAGGCTGACTGGCAACGCCGTGGTCTCTATATTGGTCCTCAGGTGCGCGCTCTAGATATCTCCGCGCTTGATCTGAACTGACAGTCGATGCCATCACCAGTTTGACACCCTCGATGTCGCTGTCCAGGACGAGTTCGAGAAGTTCCTTACTGAGCGTGGCATCAACGAGACCCTTGCATACTTCATCCCGGAGTACGCCGAGTGGAAGGAGCAGAAGGTACGCACACGGCTCATCTGTACAAGTGGCGCAGGACTGATCGCGGTAAATATAGGAGTACGTCCAGTGGCTCAACAACATCAAGGGCTTCATCGACGCATGAACTACTTGACCCCATCACTCATACGCCCGACGGATGATGCCAACCGTTCCCATCCAAAAGCACCCTTACCCCACATCTTGACTTGCCGGATGACCCGCCTGTCGTTTTTACTGCTCTTACACTACGCTCTTGATATTGCCGCCCCGCTGTTAGCACCGCTCAATCATACATCGCAACTTATGCATCTCTTTCATGGATTGCTACGCCGCTGTGGGATGTTTGAGAGCTCGACCAATCATGCGCACTGGCGCTTCACTAGTGCGCGCTACTTTGAGCGCTTGACTAGCTGGGTATGCGTCGGCCTACCACGTCGCGGGTCCGGTGTACAGCCCGTGCAGTCCCTGGCCTCTTCATATGGGATGTTGACCTGGTTCTGTTATAGACGATGATGAAGATGATCTGGCGTCTATATGTGGCGCACGTTGCTACGGCTGGCGATCTTGGCCATGTCATCTGCAGTACCATTTGTTGGCGTCCGCGTTGTATCAATGGATGCCCGGCAAGCGTTCTCCGAGGACACGTAGCCCGTATACAGAACGTGCACCGCACCCAGCAGGTATCGACCTTGACGTGCCACTCCTTGTTGAATAAGCTTGGGCTGAAGCGGATAAGGCGTGCGGGGATTGATCGAGTGATGTCGGTTCCGTTGCTTTCGCGTTACGGGCCCTGTTCCGCTTTGTCGACGACCAGCCATGACAATCCGTTCCTGTCAGCCGTACAATGTACCCGCTCAGGCCTTTCTCATACCATGTTCTCGCACAGTATGTAAGTACAGCGGTCTTAGGCCCTGACAGTTGAGTTTGCTCGACTCTGAGCGGAGATGGATTGTTGGAGCGATCTCTTGTTCGATGATGAGCGGATGCCGCAGCTGGGAGACGCGCCCGAGGCGGTGCGCAACAGACCAGCGGTCTTTGATTGAGGCAACGTTACGTCCCTGACATGCTTGCCGTTGGTATAAAGCCCGACGCTATCCTTCTTGATGAGGTTTTCCCCAAGTCCGTCGCTTTCTCCGGTGCATTCGCCTGTTGGTCTGCAGTTCACGAATTTACCCTTTTTATTCCTTTATTCTCTTCTAACGCCCCTCAACCCGGCTCCTTCAAAACAAACTCGTGTCTGTAACTGCCTCAGGATCCTCTGCTACCACTCTATCCTTTAAACTTTATCTCTTTTTACTCGTCTCATCTGCCCAACTCAGTCAACAATGGCCGCCTGCCTTTCCCCCGTTAACCTCTCTGCGCCCATGTCCTCTTTCTTCCTCCGCCCGGCCGAGCGTCAGTTCCAGCCCTTCCAGCAGGAGCTCGTTGCTGCCATCAGCACGGCGATGCGCCAGCCGCGCGGCCCGCCCGCGCCCAAGACGCCCGTTCTCGGCGCGCCGGCACCTATCTTGATGGCCTCGGAGGCTCCCTCCGTTTTTGTTGCCCCGGCCCCAGCGCCGAAGAAGAGCTGGCGCGATCGCGTTGCTGCCGCTGCCGAGGTGAAGGAGAACGAGTGGAAGGAGGTTCCCGCCAAGAAGTCGCCCAAGAGCCCCAAGAGCTTTAAGACTCCCAAGTCTCCCAAGTCGCCGAAGTCTCCCAAGAAGAAGACGACCAAGGCTGCGCGCACTGCGTCTCCTGAGCCCATTGTCGAGATCGCTGCTGCACCAGGTACCTACTATCCGTTCCTGCTCTGAAATCCAAATCTGATATACGCCCTGCAGTCCAGCCTGAGTCGCCCTCGGCCCGCGTCTACGACATCACCTACCTCCTCTGCCTCTCGACCTCGCCCCTCGTCGGCGTGACCGAAGCTGAGCGCACGCACATGGAGGACCTCGTCTACAACCACACGTGGCGCCGTGGCCCACACCAGTCCATCTCGCGCCCTTCCTCGCGCGCGTCCAGTCGCTCGAGCTCGCCTACACCTTCGAGCCGTTCCAGCTCCCCCGCACCTGCCGCGCCTATCCAGCGTCTCCGCTCGGAGCACCGCCGCACGAGCTCGAAGCTGAGGAACTCAGCCTCCAGCGATGAGGAGTAAATATGAGGATGACATGAGGGATTCGGATTTGATCGTTTGCATCGGATGAGGATAAATTATTTTTATGTTTGCGACGACGACTTCCCGCACTATATTTGTGGTGTATACACATTCATTATTTGTGTACTTCGACGCGTGAAGATCTGGGAGTTATGTTCTGGAAAGGTATTGGTCGTAATGTTCCGTTAGCGTGCGGGCATTGCCAGACGATGTCGGTCATCAGGTAGACTTGTTTGCATGTTCGGGGCGAGTGGCTATGTATAGGCTGGGCATCAAACACCATACAGTGACAGTCGTAGGGTTCGGCGTCTAAGTAAGGAGGGAAGTTTATTGAGATTTGATGCCGGGTTCTGTTGCCGGATAACGCCGATAACGACCGTCGCGTCAGACGCGCAGATCACGGCTCTGCTCGCCCCCTCATCAGCACTCCTTCGACGCGTCTCAACCCGTGAAAGTATATGGACGCTGATCCCAAGATGGACGAAGACAGACGCGACCCGAGGGACCGCGATGGCGATGACCGTCGTGACCGCGATAGGGACCCTCGCTCCGGTCCCCGCGACAGACGTGACTATGGCGGTGGTGGGTTCAGAGGTTTATATGAATTCGCGGACAAAGAATACATGTACTGATTGTCATATGCATTATACAGGTCGCGGCAGCCGCCGTGGGGGACCTGGCGACCACTGGGAACCGCTAGGAAAGCGCATCGAAGTAGGTTTTGTTTGTTATGTTGTATGAGCTGGCTACTTATAACGAAAAAAGGCACGTCGCCCGCGTTCTCGTTCTCGTGAGCGCCGTCGGTCCGCCTCTCCACGTGGTGGTCGTCGCTCGAGACGCTCACGTTCACGCAGCCGTTCGCGTTCTCCTCGCAGCCGCTCGCGTTCGCCGCGTAGCCGGTCCAGGGGCCGCGGCGCCACAGAGGCGTTCCCGCGTTCCCTCGGCGGGCCTATGAACGCGCCCCACGAGGAGGCTGCCGAATTCAGCAAGATATCAAAACGCGAAAACCGCGTTTATGTCGGCAATCTCAGCTACGACGTCAAGTACCGCGACTTGATGGAATTCATGAGGGGAGGTGGGTTAGGAGCTTTAGATTGTTGTGGATTTGGTCACGGTTTCGGTCTTCGTCGCGGCGCTGCAGTTGCCCTCGCACACGAGGATTTTGGTTTTGCGGACGAGGCTCAGAGATTGGTCGTGCTGAGGGGAGAAGTTTGGCCGAGGCGTACGGCACGTTTCGGAGATTGCGAGGATCTGAAGAGGTGACGGGGAAGAAGGGCAAATTGCCGACCATAGCGCCCTTGCATCGCTTTGCATTGACGCCCATGCTATGACGCACACGAGTCCCTGGACGCGAATATCCCGGTAGGAGAGGCAGACGAGGGCTTAGCATTTTTCTCTGGTCTTGGGTTGGGTTGGTCAGCGGCGAGGATAGCTTATTGATGGGTCTTTTGGGATATTAGCGGGAGAGGTGTTGTTTGCGGAGGTCCTCATCACGCCGACTGGTATCTCGAAAGGATGCGGGTAAGCGCCTTTCCGCTTCTGCACATGATCATGATGTTGACTGTTCCGTAGAATCGTCGAATATGCTTCTCAAGAGGACGCGCAGCGTGCTGTCCGCGAGCTGTCTGAGCAACCTTTGCTCGGGCGTCCCGTCTTCATTCGTGAGGTAAGTACCGCCTTAGTGTATATGTGGCGAAAGTTTGTTGAACGCTTTCATAGGATCGCGAGAACGAATCCCGCTTCGGCGCGACTCCTGTACCCGGAAAGATCGGCATGGCTATGGCTGGCCAAGGTCTTCACGCTGGCCCTCCACCTCGTCCGTCTCACCACAACAGCTTCAGCGGCGGTGGCCCGCCGTCCAACCCCGGGAACCAGCTCTACGTCGGCAACGTAATACAATTTGCGTATATATCAGCTTTACCTAGCTGAACTTTTTCTTGCTAGCTTCCGTATCAAGCTGGCTGGCAGGATCTGAAGGACCTCTTCCGTTCTGCCGGAAACATCGTTCGCGCAGACATCAACATTGGTGCAGACGGGCGCCCCAAGGGCAGCGGAACCGTCATTTTCGAGACGGCCAAGGACGCTCAACAGGCTATCAGTAAGGTTGCATCGTATGTTCTGTCGGTCATGGAAGCTGATCAATTGTAGGCATGTACAACGGCTTCGACTGGTACGGTCGCATACTCGAAGTCCGCGAGGACCGTTTCGCCGGTCTTTCCGGCTCCCGCGGCGGTCGTGGTGGTCTGCGCGGCCTTCGCGGTGGCCTCGGTCGTGGTCTCGGCCGCGGCGGCTTCCGTGGTGGCTTCGGCGGTGGAGGCGGAGGCAGCGGCCGCGACTTCTCCAACCAGGATATCTACGCTGATTACTCCGGCCCGGATCAGCCCTCCAACAACCGGAGCACCAGCGACAGCTACGGTGGCGGCGGATCCGGCTTCGGCACAAGCGGCTCGTCGAACTTTGGCGGCGGAGGCGGACACTTCAACGCCGAGCCCAGCCAGCAGATCATGGTTCGCAACGTACGTGTGCTATCTTACTACGCGTAGATGTGACGCTGATAGTCCTCTCAGCTTCCCTGGTCGACCGCGAATGAGGATCTTGTTGAGCTCTTCGAGACCACCGGTCAGGTTGAGCTCGCGGAGATCCTCTTCGAGGGCACGCGATCCAAGGGCGCTGGTGTTGTCCAGTTTGCTCAGGTTGGCGAGGCGGAGACTGCTATCGGTACGCGCCCACATTTTTCCCGATATCTATGGCGAACTCACACGTCTTACAGCCAAGTTCCAAGCCTACATGTACGGTGGCCGCCCGCTCGACGTGCAGTTCAACGACCGCTGGCATACCTTTACGCCCTCGGCCGCGAAGGGTGGTCAAGTGCCCATGCAGGCCGACGTCGCGTAGTCCGGTCGAGTACGGTGAATGCTTGCTTTTCTCGTTCGATGTCCTTTTTTCCGACACAATACGGTCCGATAATGCTCCAAAATACGCGTATGCGTCGATTGCGTGTGCTATGCACTGAATATATATGTATACAGGCTGTCTCCAAATGAATATACGTTATTGGGTATCTCCTCGTCCGTATGGTGTCTAAGCGTCAAGACCAGAGCTATCAGACGCGGCTGGCCCCTCGTCGTAGTCACCTCCGCCCTCGAAGCGTTTCCACTTCCCCTCCCATCTAATCGAGACATCATTGATCTTCCTGTACTCTTTCTTCCACTTCTTGAGCACTTGCGCAGACACGGGTCGGCGAGCTGCGGCAGTCATATCCTGCACGCCACTGAACGTGCATGGCTCCGAGAAGAACCCGCAGTCCATTGTCCCGCATATCTTCCCGTCGCCCAGAAACGTCAACATGCCCACATCGGTATACATCTCTCCTTCGCCCTGTTCATGCCCGCGCCATTCAAAGTCGACTGTTTCGCCAACATGCGAGGGTGTGCGCGAGCATCGGATGGTGCCTTTGATGACGCCGAAGTGAAAGTGCCCCCAGAGGTGCTTGCCTGTACGCTTGGAGGGGCAGAGCGTCAGTTTGAGCGGGCGGACGCAGTCGTCGGGCCATTCGTCTGCGATGGAGGGAGCTTTGATCGTGTATCTGCATGCGAGGTCGGTTGGTTGGAGCTTTGCGGATGTCAGCGACAGCGATGTTGGTAACAGAACATGACGTTGACATACCTCTTCGCCACTACCACTGTTGCGCGTTTTGGCTCGCTTTCTTCGCGAACCCGGGCTCTCTTCGTCAGCAGCCTTTCTCTTCCGTGACTGCGAACTAGGATTAGCGATCTCGATGGGCACAAGCTCTCCCGCTTTAGCAAGGACAGCCTCATGCCTGCGCCGCACCTCATCAGTCTTCTCCTCCCACTCCTTCTCCAGCCTCCTCTGCTCCTCCTCCGCCCTTTCCTTCATCCATCCAAACTCCTCCTTCCACTTCTCCTTCAGATCCTCTTCCAACCCCAACAACCTCTTCGGAACCCTCAACGTCTTCCCATCCCCAAATGCCTCCAACAACTTCCTCTTCGCCGCTTGCTTCGTTGTTACCGGCCGAAGTCCGTAGTGGATCATCTGTGCGATGTAGAATGCGCCGGTTTCGTCTTTGCGTGATGGGTCGGTGTTGTTGAGGAGCTCGTAGAGGTGTTGAGAGTCGGTACGGGTGTAGCGCTTGCGATTTGGTCCTTGTTCGACGTACATGGCGTGGCCGTCGTACCAGAAGGTACAGTCGATGGTTACAGGGCATGGGTCGTGAGCTGTCGAGTACATGGGATTTCAGTAGCTTGTATGTGCGCTGATGATGGTGGTGTAGTAGTGAGGGGAGGTTCATCAGCCGGTGGGGTTATATACTTGTGAGAGGCAAGCGCTCGGAGCGTGACGTAGGTGTGGCACCGGCCCGACCTTGCGCGCTTCTGGCGCTTTCCACTTGATGCGCCCGACGATTCGGGCGTCGGGAAAACCCAGCCAGGCTTGTAAGACATGTACACGCATGTAAAGAATCCCAACGACCCCAATTTTCGGGGGACCTTTAACTACCTTACACCCGCAAGGTCAACATGGACATTCATTTAAAGGTCTTGCTAACCTTTAAAGCTCCTTCAAGGTCCCGCGAACCTTACAATAACCTCAGCACCTTCAAATACCAGAAGCAGATTCAAATGCACGTCATTAAAGCCTGCTTACGACGACCGATAATCAGGTATATATTCTTTTCCCAATTAGGCAATTATTCACTGCGACGATGATGGCAACAATATATTTGTAAGGTGGTACATTAAATACAAGTGGCAAGTAGGACAACTACGTAAAGAAGAACCTTCAGACCATACAACCGCCCTACGGGCATGAACGCCGTGCCGACGCGTCGCCTCGCCCCGCGCGCAGAAGCTCGAGGGTCCTGAAAAAAACGTGAGCTCGATCTATGGATGGTTCGGAATAACGACATACCTGAATCTTGGCGAGTAGGATCCCCGTCAAAAATGTAGTGATTGTGCCTATCGAATGGTGTCAGTGACGAGTGCTGAAGGCGAACATGAGTATATGCGGGCGCACAGGTGACCGCCCCGGAGCTGTATGCCGAATTCAGCGGGATTTGCTGCATGTAGCATTGCGGGGACGGAAGCTTGCACTGGCGGTGCAAAGAGCGAGGACGCGCATCGAAAGGGCGGCGGCGGGGAGTGGTGGTAAGAGGGAAAGAGTCGAGTCGCGCGAAGGCAAGAAGGAACCGCACGAGAAGTCGGGAATCAGGGGCCGGGATCGAGTGCATGACGTCATGAGCGCCAGCAGCCCATCGGCGTCCGTTCCGTCGCGCGCAGGCTGTTCTCGCTGCCTCTGCGCGTACCGTGGGCTACCGTGGGGTATCCAGCACTACCGACCAGTAGGCGAAGCCACGGATCCCACGACAGCTCATGCTCTCTGCTCAGCTAAGCTTGCGAGACCTTAAAAGCTTGCCCATCTCTTATGAATACCTGGCAAGGTTGTCGCCCAACTTGATTGGGATGGGAATCTTGCCGGCTTCCTTTAACAATCTTTAAAGGTCAGCGCAATCTTGTAAGGTCGTTCAAGGCGAGGCGCTTCCTTTTGAGGTACGTACATGCCCTTCAAGCTTACGCGAACCTTGCATTGACCAAAACTCAGTTAAACGGTTTTCGCTTTCCCCCGACGGGATCGTGTATACAACACTAGCGTAGACCCGTGCTCCGCACGGGCTGACCGTTTGCACACGTGGATCGTTTTCCCCAGCGTTTACTTTGCACCCG